CTGAAACAGACTGGGCCTATGTCCCTCTCTCTGTTTTGTAGCTGGGCAGCCCCAGGCCAGAGAACCTGACTTGCCCAAGCTCACCCGGCAAGCCCTTGGCATGTGCCAAACTGGTGTTTGTTCAGTGACCTCCTCCAGGACAAACCTTAATTTTATATGAAATCAAGCACAGCTACGTGGAGCAGAATGGCAAATTCACATGAACTTTTAAGATAAAACAGGAGACTTCAGAAACAGTGTGTTGTTGTAGTGAGTGCTACAGACCATAAACAGGAGTCCGAACTGTACGGGGAGTTGGGGTAGCGATGGGACCAGAACCCAGGGGTTCTGATGGCCAGTCCAACGGGATTCCGCACCCCAACCTCCCTCCCCTTCGCCTGATCCTGGGAGGTGACGAAATGCTTCCACACCCATTTCTCACCCTGGCGACAATCCTGCCATCTGGGCCTGGATTGTTACCTAGGAAACTCAGGCCCAGAAGGTAAATGACCTGTCTAAGCTATAATGCTCAAATCTGACTGAGCCAGGACTTGAACCCAGGTCTTAACAGTTGAAATCCACTTTCTCCTCTGCTTTTCTGGCTGGGCAAAGGGCAGAGTCTGTGGTCACAGAGCAGGGCTGTCTCACCAGAGCCCGGCCTGTCTGGCACTAAGCTCTGACCACAAGCAAGGAGAACGAAGGTCTAAGGAAGAGTGAAAAGGTCCATCAGGACCCTGCTCATGTTCTCCACCCTTCCTCTGCCAAAAAGGGGCCTGCTGCAGCACTAGGAGGAGATTCAGAATGCCATCTCCAGCAGCATCAAGCAAAGGGGCTTTGAAGTCAGACCCATTTATGTTGGAAGGCCTGTTCTGCCCCTTAGAAGCTGTGTCATATTAGGCAAGTCACTCTACCTCTCTGAACCTCAGCTGCCTCATTGGAAACATGGGACCCTCTTGCAGGATCTGTGAGGTTTGGATTAGATATGTCATGTGAGTGCATCTGACATACCTGTGGTGCTGGTGAGGGTCAGCCTCCTTCTCAGAAGCTCCTGCTTTGACCCATTTGGAAGATGAAGCGATGGGAGAAATGCAAACTGCTGCTGTTTCGGGAGCAGATGATACAATATAGCTTGATGCATCCCAACAAAGTCCTCCTCTGCCAACACTCTCTTTTTCCCCCCGTGGCTGGGGCTGCCAAACCCCAAGTGTGTGGGCCTGTCCTGTGCTGCTCCTGTGTAAGCATGTTCCCTGTGTTTTTCAGATCCTCACTACAATGTTGCAAAGCAGACTGGGCACAGCCTGTTCTCTCCTGTTTCACCTACAGGCAGGCTCCGGGGCCTACACACTTACGTGACTCATCCGAGCTCACACAGCAAGCCATGGCATGGCCTAGGACAGAATTCCTCAACCTTGGCACCATGACATTGGGGGCAGGATAATTCTTTGTGATTGGCTGTCCTGTACACTGTAGGATGTTTCCCAGCATCTCTGGTCTCTACCTACTAGATGCCAACAGTACCCCACCTCCAGCTGTGACAACCAAAAATGTCTCCAGACACTACCAAATGTCCCTGGTGGGCAATTCCAGCCCCATTGAGAACCACTGTCCTGGACTCCTGTTTGTCTAGTGTGTCAATCTAATCTCTTCTTTGAAACACAACTCCAAGGACCAACAACCAATATTTTTCTTCCTCCCCAAACAGATAATATAAACTCTTGAAGGCAGATAGAACCCATATTTCAATATCCACCTTTGGCATCTTTTTCAAACTATTTCCAGAGTGACAGGGGGGAGAAAATGGAAAAAGATATTTGAACACATACCCTTTTTTCCACTGGCGTTTGAGAAAATCCCCATCTTGCGTATACCTAGTATCTCTCATGGGTTGGCTGGCTCATAAAACCTTGTAGCCTTAGCCAGGGCCACACTTACAGGACTTCTACATACACATCATGATCAGGGCCCTTCTGCTGTCTGCACTGGTAGCTGGAGAAAAGCCCTGTCACCCAGAGGCGCTTTCCCTGTCCCCTGGTGGGACTGGGGATGGGACCTTCCTGCCCCCACTGGACTCGGTCCTGTGGTTATAAGAAAGCTGGAGTGAAGTTCGAAAGAAGTGGAGCAAATAGCAGGACTTGATGAAATCTTGGGATCCTTCTAGAACAAGGATTTTCTATCTGGGGTTTGGGAACGCAGTGAGTATAGGTAACATGGTTGAGGTCGCTGCTTCCCAGACTCACAATTCTTTCTCTTTTCACAGCTCTCGGCTGTGGGCTCCCCACTTACCTGCCCCAACTCCCCAGGGCGGTTGGAGGTGAAGACATGAGGCCCAACAGCTGGCCCTGGCAAGTGAGTCACCCATGCTCCACTTCTTCCCTCCCTGCCCCCACCCACCTCACAGCACCCTTTTGCCCTCTGCCATGGGGTCTGTTGTGCTGGCAAAGAATAGAATTGGTGGGGACTCACAGGGCAGGATGGGAAAACTCACCAATAAAACACACTTCTGTGGCCTTGGTCAACCCTGGGGGTGGAAGGAGAGGTGCCTTCACCAGCTTCAAGAAGGAGCTGCCCCACCCCACTACCCATACACAGATTCACAAATATATTCTTACTCTGTCAGCCAATCATATGCTTGCTTACAAATGTACCCTTATCCTCTGAACCATTCATCACACCTATGCAAATATTTCTTGCTTTAGGGCACTAATCAGGGCTGTTTATGCAAATTAATCCTTAAGCATAGGCAAATCCATGTTACCAGTGAAAGTAAATGTAACCTTACCTTGAAATAATCATAGTGATATTGAGACTAAAATTCTGGGTTGGGCATGGGTACATATTACTAGGTAGTGAATTCTGTTAGTGGTAGGACTCCCAAAGGAAATATGTGAGTCTTACATTGACATAAATAAATATAGTAAAATCTCTCTTATCTGACATGACTGGGCCTGAGTGATTGAAAAGTTAGTGATAGAGAAATTATTAGAAATCACACATATATTCTTTAAACATTGTATTTTATTTTACTTTATACTTTGTAAATATACTTCATTCACCAATATTTTGAGTTCTTAACTGTCTCATATAAACCACTCCCATCCTATATCACCTATAATTCCATTTCTTTGAAGTAGAGCAATGACTTTGAGACAGTCTGGAAGCAGTCTGAATGAGCCCTTTCAGATTTTTATGACATTTTTTTCCAATCTTTTCATTTCCTCACAGACACCTAATTCAATAACAATTTTTTTGTATCCCCTGGACTTATTTGTTTTATAGCTGGAAGTTTGTATTTAGCAATTTTTTTTAAAGCCATGGTTATCTTTTCCAAGCATTTAACTGGGTTTCCATATAAATCACGACTCTCTTTTTGAACTCATATTTTACTGGTTACATGTTTGACCAATTTACATAATTACAATATGTGCACAAGTGGCATAAACAGGTTTGGGAACGAAAGAGCTGAATTGGGGTGAGCTGACAACATCAGTGCTGGCCATGAGGGTTCAGGTTGCCCCATGCAGCAGTTGGTATGTTTCGCAGAGGGAATGGCGAGCATCCGTTCATCTTCCCCTCAATGAAGAGAGCTTTGGTCATAGACTGGATTTCACAATTTATATACCTGGCTCTATGGACTTTTGTCAGTTCTTTTACTTTTCTCACACTCCCACAATCTTTTTCTTGGGAAGTTGGAAGAGGGACCATATACCCCCCATAGCACAGGTCATCCTTGTGCTAGACGAATCAGAGCTGCCTATGAAAACATTTCCTCACCTGTGACCAGTTGACACTGCTCAGACAGGTGTAGCCTTGCCTTGGGAACCAAGGAACGTTAGTCTTGGAAGAGTCTCTCAGCACTTCCTGCTTCCGCTTCCCTGGGGAGGTGTTTTTATTAGGATGGGTGGGTGTGTCAAGTAGGGTGGGTACTTGGGTGAGGCAAGTTAGGCACTCTTCTTGGCGGTAAAATTTAAGGGAGTGCCCCAAATTTCAGTAACCAAAAGGAATAATATTTTAAGGCTATTATTATTATTATTTTATTGATGTCATAATAGTTTACAACGTTGTGAACATTTAGTTGTACATTATTGTTTGTCAGTCACCATATACATGTGTCCCTTCACCCCTTGTGCCATCCCTCAACCCTCTTCCCCTGGTAACCACCAAACAGTTCTCTCCTTCTGTGTGTTAGTTTATCTTCCACATGTGAGTGAAATCATATGGTATTTGTCTTTCCCTGTCTGGCTTATTTCGCTTAACATAATACCATCCAGGTCTGTCCACGTTTTTCAAATGTGGCGATTTTGTCTTCTTTTATGGCTGAGTAATATTCCATTGTATATATATACCACATCCTCTTTATCCAATCATCAGTTGAGGGACACTTAGGTTGCTTCCACTTCTTGGCTATAGTGAATAACGCTTCAATTAACATAGTGGTGCATAAGCCTCTTTGGGTTGTTGATTTCAGGGTCTTTAGATAGATACCCAGTAGTGGGATAGCTGGATCATAAGATATTTCTATTTTTAATTTTTTGAGGAATCTCCACACTGTTTTCCATAGAGGCTGCACCAGTTTGCATTCCCACCAGCAGTGAATGAGTGTTCCCTTTTCTTCACAACCTCTCCAACATTTATTATTTTTTTGTCTTGATGATTCTAGAATTGGTGATACACCCATTCTAATGGGTGTACAGTGATATCTTAGTGTAGTTTTGATTTGCATTTCCCTGATGATTAGTGATGTTGAACATCTTTTTGTGTACCTATTGGCCATCTGTATATCTTCCTTGGAAAAATGTCTGTTCATATCCTCCACCCATTTTTTGACTGGGTTTTTGTTTTCTTGTGTTGTTTGTTTTCCTGTTGTTCAGTTGTGTCAATTCTTTACATGTTATGGAGATTAACCCCTTATTGGATATGTGCTTTGCAAATAATTTCTCGCAGCTGGTGGGTTGTTTTTTCATTTTGATTCTGGTTACATTTGCCTTGCAGAAGCTCTTTAGCCTGATGAAGTCCCACTGCTTTATTTTTTCTTTTGTTTCCGTTGTCCATGTACACATGGAATTCGAAAAGATCCCTCTATGACCAATGTCAAAGAGTGTACTGCCTATATTTTCTTCCTGGAGTTTTATAGTTTCAGGTCTTACCTTCAAGTCTTTGATCCATTTTGAGTTAAGTTTTGTGTATGGAGAAAGAAGATGGTCTACTTTCATTCTTTTGCATGTGGCTGTCCAGTTTTCCCAGCACCATTTATTGAAGAGACTTTCCTTTCTCCATTGTATGTTTTTAGTTCCTTTATTGAAGATTAGCTGTCCGAAGATGTGTGGTTTTATTTCTGGGCTTTCAATTCTGTTCCGTTGATCTGTGTGTCTGTTTTTGTACCAGTACCATGCTGTTTTAACTATTAAAGCTTTGTAGTATATTTTGAAGCCAGGGATTTTGATGGATCTAGGTTTGTTCTTTTTTCTCAGGATTGCTTTGGCTGTTCAGGACCTTTTGCTCCATAAGAATTTTAGGATTCTTTGTTCTATTTCCGTGGAGAATGTCATTGGGGTTCTGATTGGGATTGCATTGAATCTGTAGATTGATTTAGGTAGTATGGACATTTTTACTATGTTTATTCTTCCAATCCATGTGCGTGGGATGTCTTTCCATTTCTTTATGTCATCGTCAATTTCTTTCAATAACGTCTTATAGTTTTCATTGTATAGGTCTTTCACCTCCTTGGTTAAACGTATTCCTAGGTATTTTATTCTTTTTGTTGAGATTGTAAATGGGATTGTCTTCTTGAGTTCTCTTTCTGTTAGTTCGTTATTAGATATAGACATGTAACTGATTTCTGTAAGTTGATTTTGTACCCTGCAACTTTGCTGTAGTTGATTATTTCTAATAGTTTTCCAATGGATTCTTTAGGGTTTTCTATATATAAAGTCATATCATCTGCAAACAGTGACAGTTTCACTTCTTCGTTGCCCATTTGGATTCCTTTTATTCCTTTTTCTTGCCTAACTGCTCTGGCCAAAACCTCTGGTACTATGTTGAATGAGAGTGGTGCGAGTGGGCACCCTTGTCTTGTTCCTGTTCAGAGGAATGGCTTTCAGTTTTTCCCCGTGAGGATCATGTTTGCTATGTGTTTGTCATAAGGCCTTTATTATGTTCAAGTACTTTCCTTCTATACCCATTTTGTTGAGAGTTTTTTTCGTAAATGGAAGTCATATCTTGTCAAATGCCTTCTCTGCATCTATTGAAATGATCATGTGGTTTTTAGTCCACGTTTTGTTAATGTGGTGTATCACATTGATTGATTTGTGGATGTCGAACCATCCCTGTGTCCGTGGTATAAATCTCACTTGATCATGGTGTATTACCTTTTTAGTGTATTGCTGTATTCAGTTTGCCAATATTTTGTTGAGGATTTTTGCATCTATGTTCATCAGCGATATTGGCCTGTAATTTTCCTTCTGTGTATTGTCCCTATCTGGCTTTGGAATAAGGGTGATATTGGCCTCGTAGAATGTAGTAGGAAGTGTTGCATATTCCTCTATGTTTTGGAATAGTTTGAGCAGGATAGCTATGATATCTTCTTTTAATATTTGGTAAAATTCTCCAGAGAAACCATCTGGTCCTGGACTTTTATTTTTTGGGAAGTTTATGTTTACTGTTTCAATCTCTTCACTTGTGATTGGTCTGTCCAGATTCTCTATTTCTTCTTGATTTAGTTTTGGGAGGTTGTATGAGTCTAAGAATTTATCCATTTCTTCTCGATTGTCCAATTTGTTAGCATATCGTTTTTCATAGTATTCTTTTAAAATCCTTTGTATTTCTGTGGTGTCCATTATAATTTCTCCTCTTTCATTTCTAATTTTATATATTTGAGCCTTCTGTATTTTTTTCTTAGTGAGTCTGGCTAAGGGTTTGTCAATTTTGTTTATCTTCTCAAAGAACCAGCTCTTTGTTTCATTGATCCTTTCTACTGTTTTTTTTTTGGTTTCAATTTCATTTGTTTCTGCTCTGGTTTTTATTGTTTCACTCCTTCTGCTGACTTTGGGCTTTGTTTGTTCTTCTTTATGTAATTCTGTTAGGTGTAGTTTAAGGTTGGTTATTTCAGATTTTCTTGTTTGTTAACATGGGCCTATATTGTTATGAGTTTCCCTCTCAAGACCACTTTAGCTGCATCATATATCAGTTGGTGTGGTGTATTTTCATTTTCATTTGTGTCCAGATATTTTCGATTTCTCCTTTAATTTCTTCAATGATCCCTTGGTTGTTCAGTAGCATGTTGTTTAGTCTCTATATCTTTGTCACTTTCCTTGTTTTTTCTTGTGGTTGATTTCTAGTGTCATAGCATC